AAGGCCATGAACTGAGCTCAAGCTATGACCCTGAGCTGATGTAGTCGTAGACTCACCAATGTGAGAAACCACAGAGTTCGTGGGAGCGTGATGGATGATTCCATGTGTCGCAGGGCGACATTACACAGGAAGATGGCGTTGCGCCTTCAGTTTGGCAAATTCAAATCGGAGATGGCGCTCAAGGTGCACGTCCACATCCTTGTGGCTTCGCTTTAAGGTAGACAGCGGGGGAATTTTCCGGCGCCGCTACACCGATCGCTTAAAGAGCTTCTCATCATCTGCAGTGGTTTTGCTAGGGACGAGCACCACAGGAATCCTCAGCGTCGCGGGTACAGGAGCGCCTCCTCCTAAGCTCGAAGTCGAGCGCGGTACCGATCCGTTGATATTTCTTGGAGTGCCAAAAAGCGAGCTCGGAGAGCTTTCCGCTGGACAAGCTCAGCTTGTGTAGTGGTCGGGGCCCCGACTACGTAGACGCCTAACGATCAAGTGATCGCGTCTTTCACTTCAGTAGCGGGATCCGCCGAGCGGAAAATCGTATTGGGGGGTAAAGGGTCGAACGTGGAATCGAGCACATGACAGCCGCCTGTTGGCAGCCTCCAACTGCTGCTCTTGTGCCTTGTCGAGGCGATTGGTAACAAGACCACTTCTCTCGGAAGTCGAGAGGTCGAGGAACGGATACGGTGACCGCAAGGTTCGAGCTGGGCTCACACCGCGCCGTTGGCGCACCTCATCCTCCTCGTCTTCCCATGCTGGGAAAGAAGTATCCGGCTCGTAATCGACTTCGTCCGGATCCTCGACGAGCAAATCCGTCACCCGGGGCGGGCGGTGTGTGTGACGCTCGGTTGCCGAGGGCTTGGGAAGTACTTCCCGTAAAGCCATGGACGTACTGTCTCGAGATGCACCTGCCCGCGGGCGCGCTCGGAACCAGCTAGGCTTGGTGCTTTGCGTGTCTAGACACAGAGCTTATTAATCGGAGAATGTTCAAAGATGCTTTTAAAGACGTAACGGTACCTCAGACACGCGAGCATCGTATGAGGCAACAATTCAATGTGAGTTGTGGATATTCACAATTCTGATGGGGGAGAGTGTAACGGTGTTACACGTACCCTTGTATAAAAGGGCGGGTCGCACAAGATGATGCGACCGTACATAGGTGTCGATTATTCAAGACGGCGTTATCACACAATGGTATGGCTACACCGTAACAAGAAGCCACTCCGTGGCAGGAAAAATGCATATTAATTAGGTTTTGCTATTTTAATTAGGTACTAATTCGGAAAACCTAAGGTATTAGATATTGGCGGCTCTGTCGCAAACAAAACAATTAACTACAGTTTCGATTTTGAACGGGAGAGCGTCTTTACCTTGGTCAAGGTTTTAATTACTCTTGGAAGTAGCGGATTGCGATCCGCTGCACTCGTACTGGTTCTTGTAAACAACGCAAGGTAGCTTAGCTGAAAGAGCTATGGTAGCCCCGCTGTCTGTCTCGCAATCACGAATTTTCAGACGTTAACGTCACTGATTGTGATACACGATCCACGAGTGGCTCTTGAAAAAAATTGTTTTGAATGCTTGGCACTCGTTTGTATATGTCCATAGCGGTACAACCGGAGACCGATGTGTAAGCAGAACGTACCAACCGAATGGTCAGTGATGTGTTGAGAAGATTCTGTGCGGAATATCCCTCGTAATGGAGTTCGTTGTTACCATTGTTTGAGTTTGCGATGAGCAATTCGGTTCGTTCATCCACTGAATTTACGCAATATTGTGTGAATGGCTTGCGACACCCGCTATTACAGCCTTATGCGATGGGTGGTGTCTCTGATATAAGTGGGGGAGGAGCTCGACAAATCATTGCCTCTCAAAATGATACAATCAATGATGCGAATACGTAGCGCAAGTACAAGAACGCCCTGGACTCAATCATGATGAGTCGTGTGAATGTGATCACACGTGTGTAAGATGCGATGACAAAGCACAAGATTTGCAAAAGGGATACGCATTTTGACGAGGTCGTCAAGGCGAATTGTCTATAATTTTGAGGATGATGCACTTCTGAGTATAAAAACCTGTCAGATGATGCGGTCTCAAGCTTGGAAAGCTTGAAGCAATTACCTCGATTTATCGTTACGTCGAACCCCTTGGCGACGTTGCCTAAGCGTCATCGTGAACTTCGGAGCCAAACAAACGGCCGCGAGTGTCAGAACGTCGACAAGAAGCAGATGGCTGCTGATTGCGCTGGCGATTACTACGAAAAACATATCCACCCGAACCAGAGCGAGGTTGCTTAGCAGAAGGCTTCATATCATCAGCGGCACCAGCCGCAGCAGGATCGAGAAGCTGCAGAGCCTGTTTCAATCGCCGAATCCAATTCGCTATTGCACCCCAGGCAAGTTTCCATAACGCCGTGCAAGATCGCAGACGACCCGTCGAGTATACTTCACGGGCTGTCGCTTCCTCGACACCTCAATCAAACACCTCCATCATCTAACGGTTCACCACGGAAGAAGCCTCTACACCCTTGTCAATCGCAGTTCCAAATCAGACGAAGAAGCAGAGATGACGGGGCTGTCGTAGCTCTTTCGCTTGGTTAAGGTCGGCGACCTTCGTGCTATACTTAGAACCAGTACGAGTGTAGCGGATCGCAATCCTCTTACTTTAAGAGTAATCACAACCTTAAAACAAGCCTGATTAATTCTTTCTTTTAAAATGTAAACTGTATTTCTCAGCGTGATTTGCGGTCAAGCCGCCTATTATCGAATCTATAGGTCTCCCTATCTTTGAAGTAAAACTTAATAAAAAGAATAACTATGGCTATTCCAGCAGCATACTGACTTTTTGTAAAAAGTCTAGCCTCACCATGGTGGGGTCACACCATCTTGTGTAACCCACAATTTTCATACCAGGACGCGTGAAACCCCCGTTACGTGCATTCCAACCAAGTCGTGCCAACTGAAAGTTGAATTCGGTATTCACTGCTTCTTAAAAGAAGACGGGTTTGCACGCAAAACTTCCATTCTGGCTCCGCCAGTTCGGAGGCCCTCTACAAAGACGATGGTATTATCGACCTCTCTCGTGAAGAGCAAAAGATTTTCTCCATCCTTGCCCTCGAAGATCTTAACAATCACAATGAGCGGCTTGGATCGGGGGAGGTTATTTGTTGCCGACGGTGGCTTCATGGACGCAGCCGACGCCGACATCTTCTTCTGTAGCTGCTCTAACAGAGCGTTTACATACTTGAATACGCCTCTAGGCGCGCGCTTATCGCTCCAGGACCTTGCGAAGCGATTTGTTGCAGGAAGCAGAGACATCAAATTTTGAGGCTCGTCTTGTATGCCCTGGGGCAAATAAGAGAACTGCTCCATCCACACAGAGAGTCAGTCGTGACGACTGAGATTTAAACTGACAACATGTGCTACCAGGTGCACTGGGACTGCCATAGCTCTTTCGCTTAGAGGAAGCTTGGTTAAGGTCGGTGACCTTCGATCTATACTTAGAACGAGTACGAGTGTAGCGGATCGCAATCCACTTACTCTAAGAGCAATCACAACCTTAAACCAAGCCCGATAAACTCATCTTTTAAGACGTAAACTGTATATCTTGGTGTGATTTCCAACCAAGCCGCCTATATCTAAATCTATAGGTTTTACTATCTATGTCGTAAAACTTAATTAAATGTATAACTGTGACGGGGCTTACACATAACCTGGTAACAGGGGTGTGTGTCACACCAGATGGGCGTGGTGTGGACACACCCAGATAAGGATACGGTACGGGGCTGGATAGCCAGTTGTTATACATGTATTTAGATTTTACTATACATAATTAGGAAAATCTATGCATTTAAAATTAGGCTGCTTTGCCGCAGATAACAATAATTAAAGTCAGTTTTGGATTTAAACGGAAGAGCTAGCCTTGGGCTAAGGCAATAATTACTCTTGAGATTAGCGTATTGCGATCCGCTAGACTCGTACTTGTTCTAAGTACAGAACGAAAGGTCGGTGACCTAATTTACGCTTTCTCAAAGCGCAAAGCTACGGCAGCCCCGCTGCAATAACTATAGCTGTTCCAGCAGCGTACTGACATTTTGTTGAAGTGTAGCCACACTATAGTGAGGTTACACCATCGTGTATGACCCACACCTTTATACCAGGGCACGTGAACCCCCCCCTTTTCGGGCACCTCCCCCGCTTCCTGATCGACAGAGAAATCGATATTTACATGTCGAGAACATGGTGGCGGAGAGGGACGTCCGCAGTCGAAAGGAGCACTTGGTGAAATGGCTGGGCTATCCAAGGAACGAGTACACGTGTATGCCTTGAAGTATTGTACTTCGCGACTGTTCCAATATCGCTGTCACGTTCGACGCGGGGTCAAAGTTGGATCCGCTTAGGGTATCCGTTTTGTCTCTCTCTCGTCGTGGATTCGATATCGGAGTGAATCCAATCCCACGCTTTTAAATAGGCAACCAAAACCACAGAGCGCTTATCTTGAGCAAGTCTACTGCGGTCGTTGCATTTTGCAAACGGTGGACATCCGCGACTGTGGTTGCACGAACGGATGCCCAGAATCGAGTGTCGATCAGGTTCTACGGTACATACATGAGACTTCGTGGTTCTCCTTCAGTACGTGCAATTGGTCCGATCGCGCGTAAAAACGCGTTCGAGCCATCAATCGAGCTTCCAATCGACTGAAGAGTTCGTCAAACTACCACCACGTCGGCCCTAAAATTCGTGACGACATTTAATATCACGATAGCGGAAATACACTGGACGACTGAGCTCGTCGATGGGCTCTTCATTGCAGTCGTCATCCTCCCAAGCTGGTCATTTGATGCCAGGTGTTGGCCCACCGTGTGAAAGCGCTGTTTGCATTTGCGCACTCAAACTATACTTCACCACACTAGGTCAAAGGTGGGTTTGTGGCCCGTTTTGAAAATGTGCGATGGATTTGTATTGTATTTTGATACTGCTAATTTAGAATCATTGTTGAAAGTCGCGATGACCAGCACCTCTGATGTCCCAGCGCGGCCTAACCAGCTGACCGTCAATTTTCTGCAGAACATTTTGCAGGATTCGTATCCGTCACATCGTGTTATCAATTTTAAGTGGGAGCCCATGAATCTCGGGGTCATTGCAGATGTGGTCATTATCACTGTGGAAATCGAGTCAAAAGGCGAAAATGACAAAGCTAAGAGGATGAAAATTCGTCTTGTGGGGAAGTTTATGCGGTTGGAAATCCCGTTCGAGTCCATGTTCGTGGTAGAATCCAATTTTTACAAAGCTTTTGCGGCGAAAACAGGCGACTTGGGCGTGAAGATCTCGGCAGCTCTGGATGATTTTCCGTTCGCTATTCCAGCTGCAACCTTTGCGTCTAGCAAGCTAATTATATTGGACTATGTGGAGCCAGTGCGAACCTATACGTGCGTAGAAGGGAGTCCACAACATATGATTTCGATGCTAGTGACGAAGCTAGCGCAGATGCATGCACGCTATTGGAATCACAGCTGCAATGGTCTTGCGACTCCAGCGGGAATAGGCAGCCAGCTGACAGGTGAAGAGAAGCGTCTGCAATTTCCAAGTTGCTGGAAGGTTTACTTGAATGATGTGTCACTGGAAAGTAGTGATATGGCAAGGATTATAGTGCTATGCCAGCGTTTAAGTCAAAATCCTAACCTACTTGAGCGGGTACACGAAATGGTGGAAAGCGGTCCATCTTGTTTCATTCACGGCGATTTTCATATTGCAAACATGCTTTTACCGACTGACGATACGGAAGACGAGAGAACTTGGCTATTGGATTGGGCAACGTGTGGAAGGGGTAACCCGATGCGAGATCTCGCCTTTTTCTTTATCGTAAGTGTTAAAGCGATCCATCGCCGAGCACAGGAAGCGCAGTGTCAACAAAAATATTTCGATACATTGACAGCTGAAATTGAAGCTGTACATTTTACAATGGATGAGCTGCGCTGGCAGTACAAGGTGTGCGTGCTCAATCAGTTTTTAATTTTCGTGGTCTATGACAGCCTGACCAAGAGCCTTGTGACAAATGCAAAATCAGAGAAGCTTCGCGGAGAGTTGGATTTACACTTTCGAGAAGTCAATCGCCGCATGTGCTTGAGTTTGCTGGACAACATTGACGAGAAGGAATTTCAGCTTTTGGACGCCCGCCGCTTGTAACAATCTATGCTTGTTGAGCTGTGCACGTCCTATCAGACGATCTCCATCTGGTTTAAGCTGTCGAAACATACATGCATGCGGTGCAGTTTGATAAATGTTTTGGTAAGGTCGATTGAGTTTCGGTAATTCGCTTAGATATGTCTACTAGAGAGACACGAATGGCTTTATCGTTGAAAAGCGAATGAACGCTGGAGCAGCAAACTCCATGAAAATTTATGAAAGGTCACGCATCGTGCTTAATGACAATTATTTTATTTGTTGTACGCTTTATCAAAGTCCAGCTGCTGACCATAACACGGTTGAGTTACCTCCAGCACTTGCTATTAGATGACGCTTTGGATTCCACTGTAAGTCTAACAAGGGGCCATTGTGACCCGAGGGAAGAGTGTGCACATGCTGACCGGAAGAGCTATTATAGAAAAACACTCGGCCATCTTCTGATCCGGTTAGTACGTACGCACCATCAGCTGAATAACAACACCCGAGTTGGAGTTCGCCGCGCTGGCTTCTAAGCAAAGCATGCTCCTTAAAAAAATGCAAAAGTTTGCCCTCAAACGCATCTAAATGAAGGAAAACTCCACGATTTGTTGTCACAAGCAGTTGATTTCCGTCGGGACTGAATTTGAGATCAGAGGCGTGTAGCTTTTTCGTGCCTGAATTTGGAACTTGCTTGTGCGCAAGAAATGGCTCCAACGCGGCCAAAATTGAGGCATCGTAAAGCGAGAATTTGGCAAAAGGTCCTTCTTGATAATTTCGTGCGTCGTACATTCGAATTAAGTGGTCATCAGTGTACACACCGAACACCACACCTTCTTGGTCATAAGCAGCGCAAACATGCGAGGCTGGCACACGTTCAATTCGAATGATAGCCTAAAGTCAACATTTTTTGTCAATGGTTCACTGCAGTTTAATAAAATGTCTAAGACGTACTGAAGTGTCAGAACTGCGGATATCCCAAAGCCGAACTGTGCCATCCAAACTAGCGGAGATGAATTGGTCTGCAGTTGGGTGCATCATCAACGACGTGACTCTATCACGTAAATTACAGTCGGCGACATACGATAAATGATTATTACTCTCAAACATTTTCTATTTACCTGTCTGTGTGACCAGTGTAATACCGCAGGAATTGATTGTCGAAGAACGAGTGATATCGGAGACGGTCTACACAGAGAAAGAATTCTTAATTTCACGAAAATGCAACCGCATATGCGAAAACAAACGGTCATTGGCAGCATTCGCTGATGAGAAGACTACACAATCCAAGTGATGTGTGAATCTCACAATTCCTATGCCATATCGCTTGGTTAAAATTGTTTTGGCAACTCTATCGTTAACAATCGTCAGAAATTTGCCAATTCTTCGGTGCATGTACACTCTGTAAATGTGTATACGACATACGTGCCACTTAGACAGTTGATCATAGACATGACACCGTCGCTGCGACTCGTGACACATCGCTCGCCGTTGCGATGGAAGTCGAGCGACGTGATCACCACGTTTGGGTCCTCATCCTCCTGCTCAACATTTATGCATTGGTCAAATCTCAATGGGACATCAACAAAGTTACTGATAGACTAAATTGCGCGAATTTACCTGTGGAGCAAAATTGCGCGCGACGCTATAAGAGCGAACCACGTCGTCGGTCAGCTCTACACCAACACCCTCCATAATGTAGCTCAAAAAGCAGAAGCTTTCAAAGAAATAGCATAATATCAATTGGTACTAATATTTGATGAGAAGGGTTTTAAACAATACTTTTTCAATATGCTATCTGTACCGGTATCTTTAAAATCCCACGTCATCTGTAGTTAAGTCACCATGTCGGGCGGGCATTTGTCCAAGGAGTTCTTCGAACTGGTCAAGTCAATCGGAGAGAGCAAGTCAAAGCAGGAGGAGGACCGCATTATTATTCATGAGGTAGCAATGCTAAAGCGTAAGCTCAGCGAAGTCACGGCCACTTCCAGCACGTCGAGTAGTCTCGTTAATAAGCGAAAGCGCGAGTTTCTCATTCGCCTCATGTACGTTGAGATGCTTGGTCATGATGCGTCGTTCGGATACATAAAGGCTGTGGAAATGACAGCTAGCACCAACCTTATGCAAAAGCGCGTCGGCTATCTCACATGCAGTCTCTGTTTGTCGCCCACACACGAGTTTCGCTTTATGATTATAAACCAGCTCCAACGCGACTTGCAGAGCTCAAACCACCTCGAAGTCTGTGCTGCATTAATGGCAGTCTGTAAACTTGTGACCGTGGAAATGGTGCCAGCTGTGCAGCCTATGATCCTTGATCTGTTGCGTCACGACGCTGAGCTTGTTCGGAAGAAAGCTGTGATGGCCATTCACCGCTTCCATCAACTAAATCCGGACTCGGTGAAAGAGACAGGAGACGCGTTGCGTCGTACGCTATGTGACCGTGATCCCAGTGTCATGGGCGCCACGTTGTGCATTTTGCATGATCTGGCTGAAGCCACCCCAACGGACTACAAGGATCTCGTTCCCAGTTTTGTGAGCATTCTAAAGCAAATTACCGAGCACCGGCTGCCGCGCGAATTTGATTATCATCGCATTCCAGCTCCGTGGATCCAAATCCGTCTACTGAAGATTTTGGCCTTACTTGGACAGGCTGACCAACAGAGCAGTGAAGGAATGTACGAAGTGCTACATGATGTGATGCGTCGTGCGGACACTGGGATTAACGTTGGCTATGCAATCATCTATGAGTGTGTCCAAACTGTGACGACAATCTATCCGAATAGCACGTTGCTTGATGCAGCGGCTGCAAGTATTTCGCGTTTTATCTCAAGTGACAACCATAATTTGAAGTACTTGGGTGTCACAGGTCTTGCCGCAATCGTTAAGGACCATCCTCGGTACGCTGCGGCGCACCAAATGGCTGTGATAGATTGTCTAGAAGATCCAGATGAAACACTCAAGCGTAAGACGCTAGATCTTTTATATCGCATGACAAATCCCGTGAATGTTGAGTTTATATCAGACAAGCTCACGCAGTTTCTTCGGGAAGCATCCGATGTATTTCTACGTACAGAGCTCGTATCACGCATTACGCAATGTGCTGAGCGTTATGCTCCCAGTAACGCCTGGTATATCCAGACTATGACGAACGTTTTTGAGCTTGGTGGTGATCTCGTTCGTCCCGAAGTTGCTCACAATTTGTTGCGTTTAATTGCTGAAGGAAGCGGTGAAGATGAAGACCAGGATATGGAGCTGCGTCGAGACGCAGTGGATACGTACCTGGAATTACTTGAGCGCCCCGTGCTTCCAGATATTCTGGTTTGCACCATGGCGTGGACCCTTGGCGAGTACGGCTACCTGTCAGATGCAATGGAGCTAGATGAGATTTGTGAGCGCCTTATAGAACTCGTTGATCGTCCTTTTGATCAGGAAGACACGACGCGTGGTTACGTGCTCTCAGCTGTCACGAAGATTACGGCCCAGATGGGACACACGATCGATGTAGCGGATGCTATGATGAATAAGTATAAAAACAGTCGCAGCACTGACCTGCAGCAGCGCTGTTTCGAGTATCTTGCACTTACTAAAAACTTTGCCTTGATGAATGAAGTATTTCCAGAAGATGCTAGCTGCGAGGACATTGATGTTGATGTTAACCTTTCCTTTCTTACCAATTTTGTTGAAAAGGCTGCTGCTCAAGGAGCGCCGCTCTATGATCCACCAGAGGACTCTGACGATGAAGACGAAAGCTACGGCCATCGTCGCATTGGCGGCGAGTCAAATCGTCTAAATTTTGAGGCATACAAGAAACCTGAGATCCCGTACGCGACCAAACTTCCGTTAGGAGACCAGCAGAGCGCGTTTGGAATGAACAAATGGGGTGGAAACGGGACTCAACTAGGTGGGGCGCCCGGATTGGGTAGTTCAGGTGGCCCCGATCCCACTGGAGGCTTCGGTGCTGGAAAGCGAGGAGGAGTAAAAAATGTTTGGGGCCCTTCTGGTCTCAATACACCTGAAAACGTCGCGCCCGGACTGACTGGAGCTGGCGCACCTGAATCATATAATCAGGGCAGTTTAGGTGGTATGGGTAGCCAGGGTACATTCAATGGACAAAGTGGATATGGCGCACAGCCTCCCGCTTATGGGGGCCAGGGAGCATACAACTCTCAGCCTCCGAAGCTTCCTCCTCAACAGGAGTATGGTGGGGCTCCCAGCTACGATAATGAGTCTTATAATGAAGAAGACGTTAATGGGAGCGTTGATGAGCGACAAATACTGGCGTCTGCTATCTTCGGTGGTATTCCTGGTGCCCCGGCACCAATCCCTGTTGTCCGTCGCAGTGGATCTGGTGCTCGCGCAAATCAGAACTCCATTCGCCGCTCTGCTCGCCTGTCCACGCGTCGTTCATCAGCACGCAATGATCATCAGCAGCAACAACATCAAGCACCCCAGAGTATGGATCAAGCGCCTTCTCCACACCAGCTACAGCCAAAGACCGAATTGGACTTGCTCGATATTTCGTTCGACACTCCCAACGCTCCGCAGAATGGGGGAATGTTTCAGGAACCAACCCCGCAACAACAACAACAACAACAACAGCCAATGATGAACATAGATCCGTTCGGAATGGGGTCTCCACTTGCGCCGGCGCCGACTCCTGAACCAAAAACTTTTGCCCCTCCTACATCTCTGGACCCGTTCGATATGTCAGGCCTTGGCTCGAGCATGAATGGTATGTGTGCATTGTGTGATGGTTATTTGAAGTAATTTTTCTTTCCTTATAGCCTGACACTGTTGATCGTGCATGTTTAGCTAACGTCGAGCTTGGCAAGAGCCCAGCCAACAACTTGAACTTACTGGGTGGTAGCAGCGGCAATCCTAACATATTTCAGTACAACGGGCGTCAGTTGGAGCCGTGGCAGATTGCAACACAAGATTTTGGTAGTCGCTGGGGCACGTGCCCTTGTGAAAAAAAGACAAAGGTGAATCCGAGTGGTATCCGCACTCTTGAAGACTTTATGGGCCGCATGCACCAATTTAATGTCCATACTGTCGAAGCCATTCCAGCAAGTACGTGCTTGCCAATATGATGTGTCTGTATGGTATCCAAAAATCTTTAACACCACGTCTTGTATTGTTTTGCCTTAACAAGCTAATGAAGCAATTGCAGCTTGTCGTCTGGTAAATTCGGAGCACGTCGGATTGATCCATGTGAAAATTCGAAGCGGCGGCTTTGTGGATCTGACAGTCCGCACTGCTGATATGGATTTCACCGACCAGCTCATCGAAGCTACAGCTCGGCGCCTAAAGTAAGGCATCGACAATTTGGTCGTCATAAAATGCATGTCTTAAATCATTGTACGCCAGTTGTACTTTTTTTTGCGGTATATGACTAATTTTATATTCGTTATGAGTCAAGAAATTATTTACAGAGGTCAAATTAGTGGGTACAAATTATGCTTAGTTCAGAGACCTCTGCGATATACATTTAATGAGATCTGGCTCATCCAACTAGACTAAGTTCTTGTTGGGCTTTCAAAGCTCCAATCCAGACATTAAAGGAGGGCACAAACCAACCGTGCATAAACAGGAAGCCTGCAGAAATTGGACTTCTGCGCCTTTTTTCTTGGCTGAAATCGACATGTTAGATGTTGTGCTCATGAGGTGAGGTCTTTGCTAAAAAGAAATCGAATAGAATAGTAGCATGCTGGCAGATTGTGTTTGACATGCTTAACATCCAGTTTGTTGACTGAAGGGTTCGAGGTCATGTCATGAAATGCGTATGATCAACAGTGGTAAAACACGTCCATGTTCGAAGCGTTTCTGACTTTGTCGAGAGTACAAAGTCTTTAATTCTTAACACGCAAATGCCAACATGCTATTCACAAGCTCTATGAAGAAGGATAGATTGTCATGCGATTTTAAGTTCATTTTGCCTTTATCGCATGCCTTTTTGCAAACATTTCTCATCCATCGTATAACCATTTTGGAAATGAATGAAGTTTCAGGGACTGACGACTGCGGAAATTGTATGCTCGTCGTGATGAATGCTTGGGTCAACGCGACTTTGGCTGGAGCTTTGGTGCTCAAGAAGTTTTTAAGTAAGCGCGGTAATTATAAGCTAGTCTTCGATTGTCAAGAAATACAATTCAAATTATCTTCTACCTCATGGGGTGCGTACACCCATATGCTCTAAAAATACACATATTGGTCTTCGAAAGCTAGCCACCCAAGCCAGCTTGGCCGTTTCTCCACTCTCTGCTGCGGGCTTGGTGAGCCCTACAGGTGATAGGTAAGCAATAGCCGGGGCAGCGCTTTAGGAAGCCACTAATTGTGCCGTATTACTTCAAGCAAAAATGCATTACTGCACCTCGATGCAGTCCGTACAATATAAACTGATCCGATCACAACCTCTCCTCAATCACTCGCTCTTCGTCGGTGTCAACATTCCATTCAGTTGCGAACAATAATCGTACGCGCCGTTTTCAAGAGTCTCGAGGCTGTCATGCAGCCTAGTCCAGACATAAAGAAGCCTCGGGCACGCACTGTTAGGCCCGAGAATGCCAAGCCAACTATCGTGCTAAGTCTACCAGGGGTCCGCTTCGCCGTGTTCTCTAGTGCATTGGACTCATTGCAGCAATTTGACGTTACCCTCAGCTCGACCGCATCACTGCTTTTTGTCACTTATATTACGTGTGTCGTGGCCTGGAACATCCTTTCGATCGTCGTGCCTGTGCTAGCACACACTGCATGGTTCGCGCTTATCACATTTTACACCTTCGTCGGAATCACCAGTGTGTCTACAACTACCGTATCCAAGTCAGACAAAATTGCTGCTGGAACCTATTATACCGGCAACTCCCCGATGGAAACAGATGTCACCGCTTCAAAACCAACGTTACCTTTGCTCTCGGTCATTCCGTCAACCCTGGAAGCTAATTCCAATAAGGCAGACAGAGTATTTGAAAATAAACAGAAGAATTATCGGGCCCCGACTGCTCAACGTCGAGTACTGGCTCGGCTGAACAAAAATCGAATTTTGGTCAATGTGGTGCCAGGTGAAACCCGCCGCCGTGTGGATATGAACTTGGGTGAAGCAAATTTTCGTGTTGGTAAGGCATTTGTGCAATCAGTGTCAGGCAAGCGCAAACCGCGTGATATATACGTTATTCGCGTGGACTGCGGTGCTAAATCGGCTTCTCAAGAGAAACACATGAATCCTGTCATCATGTGGGATGTGACAGCTACGTTTGACGAATTTAAGCAATTAGAGCGTGATTTGAAAAAGGAGCTCAAAGCCAGAAATCTCTCCACTAGCGTGAAGTTACCGCATTTATCGAGCGGTTCGTTGCTGTTCTTGAACCCAGAGCTCACAAATCATGTGCTGAACGCGAGGCGAGTGCGTCTGCAAACTTTTATTGATTCGGTGAAGTCGGATCCAATACTATCTAGTATGGGGTGCTTACGCAAATTTTGCCAAGCTTATTAATTTTTTGTCTACCGCGTCAACTCTCTGACAGAAGGAGAAGTGGTTTCGGAGTATGACAAGTTCTCTTGCGTGTGGAGAACGAATCCACCGACGCAATGCGAAAAGAAGTGGGAGTTTTATTTGAAGGTCATCTCGCTCCGGTCGATGCTTGACCACATTGAGGGTGGACCTTGTACACTGACAACTAGCAGCAACATCATCTATTGCTAACCATCAACATGCTTAACCGCTTAACGCCCCAACAATCGACAAGTACAGTGTCTGAGCCGACTGAAGGCTGTCAGCGCAAATTAAAGAGATAATGAATTCTGGGCTGTAATCATGTTTTTACTACATTTATTTACTGTTATGGACATAAGTTTGGTAATTCACTGATAAAGATCTGATGATTGCTAAAGGGATTAATTACTCCACCGCCAGTCAGTAAAAAAACTACGAATACAATTACGACGGAAAAACAGGTCGTAGGATTTCTGGACGTTTATCCAGAACACTTTGGCTGTTGTCGTCTCCTGGAGCGATCCACTTCTACGCTGCAAAGGCCTTAGACTCTGAAATTAGGCCACTTTATGGCTCTAGTATAAGCTGGTGTGATAGATGCGAAGACGTTCTTGCTATAAGAAGGTCGCGCATTTTGTGGCACCCGGACATTTAAACATTTTTGACTGATTGTTGCGACATGTGATAACTGAAGTTTTCTCAAGTGTTCTTACAGTCTGTTGAATTGGGTTTGATATTGATAGCGCTTGGACACCAGCAGCATATTTACATCGGAATTATTGAAAAGTGTTAGCTACATCTGAAGGATCATTAGACAAACACTGGCCGAGGAGCTTGCAGTCATAAACCACGATGGCGATTTGCTATCAAGTTCTTCTACGAGAGGATTTCTAGATGGATCAATCGACCCTGGTATTAAATGCTTTAATTTGATCGCTGCTTACTCGCCCGATGAGACATCTGCATTCGTAGCGCGGCTCTCGTACCTTCGCACCCGCTATAACTTGCTTATGTAACCAAGAGATTCATCAGCAAATCTTGAGCTTAGGTACAAGGCTTTACGTTTGTTTATTGGAGCCAACTTTAGTTCTCGGTTTTATTAAAATGTATCGTATTGAAAGGTTTATTGTTTCGCTTAAAGGAATTCGATAATTTTGTCAGCACCCTTGGCTTCTCATTTGCTGTTTGATGCAGCAAGCATATGACGGACGCTCAGGAATCGAAGTTGCGTTGAACGTGTACAAATTCTTCCATTTGGATGTATGAAAAATTATCAAGCTGAGCTTTCTCTCTGAATTATTTAAGCTATACCCAGCGATTCTTAGCATTCATCAACCTTTGTCTCGCAACTTCAAGAAAAGCGTGAAAAGCTCCATAATTTAAATCCGCGAAAAGATCAGCCGTACGTTGCAACATAAGAAAAGGCAACACAAAAAACTCGTTTCTTGAAGATCTTTAATCAACGCTACGAGACGTAACCTCTCTTTGGATATATACGCTTTTGACCCTGTCGCTGCACTGAGTGTAACGTCAATACGATTACTGACATGGCGTGTCATTGGTGGAAACCAATTTATGCAGGCTGGCTTGAAAAACTTCCCGTTGCAGCCATGCTTTTCTAATTTGCGCTCGATGCGCGGCTTTCCAGAAGCCATGATGTTCGTTAAGAGCGTTGCGAGAGCGACGCGACAGCGATTTATCATATTGGTCGCCGCGGATATACTCCTTTGCATGATGATGCCAATAGCACCAAGGGGTATTGATACTCAGACGCTGCAGCTGCGAAGAGCCTTGGAGATTGTGGATGATCGAAACGACATGACCTCACGGGCTCTTATGCCCGTAATAGATGGCCGCTACTCTAATATCACGGGCGAATATGAATATTATCGTACGTGGAATTATATAAAATTGTTGCTTTTACAAGTAATCGCATTCATGCATGAGCTTTGTTTGTCTAAAAGATGAAAACGATGGCGATGACTATGGCTGTATGGGCAGCTCAGATGGTATCAGTTGTGGAAAAATCGCAATAATTGGGGCCAGTATTGGTCTTGGATTGATAGCCATTACCATCTGCTTGACATGGAAAGCATGTATCGAGTGTTGTACAAGGTCCAGTCGACGTTCACGCCATCGAGCCTACATCGAACGACCGTACGTCTTTTATGATGGCAAGCAAGTAACATGGCATATTCGACTGAATGGTTGCTACGTATATTGCAGAAATTGCGGCTGGAAGTGCGAAGTCTGTCGCCACACCAATGAGATTTCCAGCTCTGAGTGTGTATTATGCGGCACTTCGCCAGAGGGTAAGCCTGTCAGAAAGAATACTAACATTATGATTGATATGTCCTGCTCGTACTTTCGACTTCTGTGCGTAAAATAGCCCAAAGTAATAATGCATCGGTCGTTGTCGCCTCCCACGTTGAGGGTGGTACTCACTCGGCTCCAGACTACCTCCTTTTGTCATCTCCCCGCTCTGACTCTGGTCATAGTGTGAAACGTTCTGACAGCAGTAGTTTGACTGATCGCCAGCTCGTTGCACGCGATCGGCATAAGTGGAAACGCTGCATTGCAGGACCGAACGTGCGTTGGGTAAGGTAGTCTGAATGTGTCAAATGTCAAGCAAGATCGTATGAATCAAAACAGCATTTTTTTGCGACTTCAGGTTAAAATTCCTTTTGAAGCTCTACAGGATAATAAAGCTTTGTGTAGCACCATTACCAACGAGCGTGACTACCAGGAGTGGCAAAAGCAACAAACTGTTCACTTAAAACCTGCGCCTTCAATGGGTTCTGTACGCGGCAGACGACGGCCCCTCACGCCGCTTAATCTTGACACTGCATTCGTACGAGATGATTCAGGATCTGACAGTCAAGTTGTCGTGTGGCGCTTGGCCGACGAGTATTCGGCATCATCCCGCAAGTATTCAAAAACAATTATGGTAAGGTAGTTTTGATATGTTCAAAACCTATCGTACTAACTACTCTATATCTGTTTATTATTCAAAACTTCAGCGGGCGTCGACTCTGTCATTCTTGGAAAAAACACAATGGTTTTATCAGTATTCGCTCAAGTTGTGTCCATCGATTGTGGATGGACATCACACAATTCGTGAGTCAAAGAATTTTGCAGTGATGTTTTAACGTGGCTATAATATGATGTCAATTTATGCCAGGTATTCATCGTGACAGAGTTATAGAGCAGTCCATGGCTCTGTTTATGTCAACACCGATTGGAACTCTCCATCGTCGCCTTCGAGTTGACTTTATGGGTGAGGCTGGCGTTGACGGAGGTGGTTTGTTGCGAGAGTGGCTTCATTTGGTGTGTAACGAGCTGTTTTCCGAGACTCAGGGGCTATTTACTCTCACAAGCTCCTCAGCTCATCAAGGATATTGGATACTTCGGGCCTCAAAGGAAGATGTGACCAAGCAATTAAAGGTACGGTACATTATTTAGTTTATTGCATCTTGTAATGAGATGATTTGACAATAGCGTAAATACTGTTACAGATGTATATTTTCCTTGGAAAACTTCTCGGAAAAGCGTTGCTGGAAGGTCTCCTCCTGAATGTGCGGCTTTCCATTCCCCTTTTGAAGCACATTCTTGGTGTTCCATTGACTTTCTATGACCTGTACCTTCTCGATGAAACGGTGTACTTCAGCATGCGGTGGATTCTTGAAAACAATAAGTCCAGTACCTTGGGTCTGAATTTTACAGTTGAAGGTGTCGAGCTTGTACCATGCGGGTCTAACGTTTTTTTGCACGAAGGAAACAAACAACTTTACGTTGCAAAAGTGGCGCAGTATTATCTGTTCGATAGTGTCCAAGCTGAACTGTCGAGTATCATCGAGGGTTTGAACAGCGTCATCAATGATCCAGTTCTCCACGTTTTTGACTACAAAGAGTTCGACTTACTGCTTTCCGGATTACCTCACATCGATATTAGCGATTGGAAGCAGTACACTGAGGTCCGATTCCTTGAAGAAAGTTCTCATGAGTTTGAAGTAATTACGTGGTTTTGGGAAATCGTTGAATCTTTTTCCCACGACCAATGCAGTCGGCTTCTACAGTATGTAACTGGCTCCAGAGGTATCCCTGTTGAGGGATTTAAGGTAAGGAAAACTCCGCAATACTTTTACTATGTGTTGACATCTAATTATGTTTGTAGGGTCTAACCGGAACGGATGGCGAGATTCAGTTATTCACTATTCAGCTTGGGAAGAATGTTGAGACCACATACACGATATTACCACACGCAAGCACATGTGCTAACCGGTGAGTTTTTTTAATCTACATGTCGCAGTGTCATCATCCAACTTTCCTCAATCGCTCTTGCAGACTTGATTTACCTTTGTATTCATCAAAAGCCGAACTCGAGCGCATATTGACGATGGTATGTAATTTTGTCGTCGTTGTGTTTGCCAATAGCTATTTTTGAACTCTTTATGCTTTTAACAGGTCGTCGAAATGGACGTCACAGGCTTTAACAGTCGCTGATTACAATTTCGTGATCATTCAGAATTATAAATTTCACGTGCAGAAACATCTATCATATCTGTAATTTCAGCCTGTCCGGCATCAACCTCCTCGCCAGGCAAAAAGTCTTTTAGTACTCCTAATGAAGCCTCATTCTCTTTTCGACATGCTATCTGTAAAGGGGTTATACCACTTGCGTCAGGTTTACGAGGATCCGCGCCGTGTTGCAACAAAGTCCGGATTATCGACAAGCGATTTGCAGGCGATATTTCCTCTCGTCGCATCTGTACTGCCCAATGCAATGGCGTCAATCCAAGCCGATCACGGACATTGACATCTGCTCCTTGCTCAAGAAGAAAGCAAGCAACCCGATTCATCGCCTGTTGACCACAAACGTGCAGTGCCGTCGTGCCATCTCCTGAACATGCATTAGGATTCATTCCTCGAGCAATAAGCAACTTGACTCCTAAAACATCATTGCTTCTGGTAGCGTCACGTAGTTCATCACCATCTACAAAATTAGCTCGTTATCCGTCGAACCGCCTGCTAGTATGACACATACATTCTGACGTACCATGCTGAGAGGCATGAAAGAAGCGTGCAAGCGCGTAGCTTACACACACTCCAGCAGCTAGCAAAAGCTCTACCAGCAATATAATGTACAACAACAGTCTCGTCGTAGATTCTTCTGAAGTATCTAACGTTTCAGTGATAGTTCTCCAGGATACATTTGTGCGAGACCAGGGAAGCATATTTTCGCCAAGTTGAGAAAATGCTTCCTCCAAAAAATCCAAACCAGGCTGTATCAAATTTTTCACAGAAGCTAAAAGCAGACTTTCGAATTTTGAAGTCGGATCTCTAAATACTCGAACAGCGTCGACTACTGCAATAAAAAACGCGAAGATCGGTATACCGATCATCCTGCTCTTCTTGCCTTGATGCAGTGTAAGCGGCAACGGTAATATATATTTCCAAACGTCGGACGTAAGGATATACCAACAGTTGTAAGAGCTATAATCGTAGTAAAAGACTGCAGTGGCTGCCACTGCAAAGAAGATCGACTGAAATATGGCTTTCCTAAATTTCTTGAATTGCCGCATTAAAGCATCTTGTAGAACATCCACGATGTATTGTAGCGAAAGTACCCGAGCAAAACGATATGAAACACTAAGTAGAAGCACTATGGTTGCTACAACCAGCGGGCGCTTCGCCATTTCCATCAGTGGCTTCATGAACGCCGTTTCAAATTTCGTTTTTTATTTATGATTTGGAAGTTAATGGTGTATCATACGTACTCCACATTTTCTCAAAACGATGACACAGGCGTCGGAGGTCCACGGCGCCACGTTGGCGAAAAACAGCAGCAACGGCCGTAGCCATGACGGGACGAATGAAGAGATTCGAAAACGTCGCGCACCTCCTGGAACAAACGCCACAGCAGAAGAGCGTGCGCGGTACGAGCTCGAGCGTAAGAAAGTGGCCAAATACAAAGAGGACAAGCTCAAAGCGCGTCGCGATCACACACGCATGATCCTAGAAAGTCACGCTCAGGCAAAGCGCCGTGCATTACTCGGAAAACAGTCTGAATTTCTTGCTACCCTTGAGTTTCGTAATACACTACCCGACATTCCTTTCGACACAAAATTTGTTAAGTACCCTCACGAACCGGAACGGTGCGTTCATGCAGCAACTATGCTGATGCTAAGAATGCAGTAAAAGTAGCAGCATTTTTTGTAAACAGACTCATAAAATACAAGCCTAATACCCTCGAGATGGACTACACATACGAGATTCACGAAGAGCCAAACCTTGGACTTACCATCGATCTAATCGATCCAGCCAAGTACGAGGGTATGTGGAAACCAAAATTAATTTCTGATTTTCGTCATAGCTGATGCATTTATTGCGGTCACATTCTGTAGTACCTATGGAGCCTGAACCACTGGAGGTTGGCGACGAGCAGATCTTGATGATGAAGGAGGACCATGCTGGCTCAAAAGGCCGGTCGAAAGTCCGTCCAACGGTATCTTGGCTGCGACGGACAGAGTACATGGGCAACGATTTGTATGATTCGGTGCACAAGTTCAAGAGTGAGGCCGAAATTCAAAGTGCGCTACGCAAGGGCACAGAGATGGCGCTTGCAGAAGTGGTGTCCGAAACGTTGGAAGACCGTGCTGAAGCTTCTTTTCGCGACATTAATGACCCCGCAACATTGGTACACCCGCACAGCAAGAAGCAGAAAGCCGTTAAAGTCTGGGATGTTTTTCCGGATCAGCTCTTGTCAGCTAACAAATATGCTATTTTGGTGCGCTCAAATAATTCTACTAGGACGTCTGGATGTTGCATTTCATTAACAATAAATGTTTCATATGCAGTCATACGACATGCTTCCATCTGAAGATATCAAGAGCAAGGGAGTTACTTTTCGCGAGGAACGTGCTTTGTTGTGTGGCATTAACAAGAAAATGCAAGCTGGCAATGAGCTTATTCAAGGATCGATTTTATTGCCCAATACCGAAGAAGAGGTATTGTGCATATGCAAAAGAAAGTGGTTTAAACATTTCAGATATCGTGACTCTTTTTTTCAGGAAAACACTGATCGCAAAAAATTCTCATACTTCCGAGAGTATCTTATGTCGGTGGAGTCGCTTGATAGCGTACGTTTGACTATTGAAAAGGCATTTTGGTTTGCACCGAGATAACATTGTACTTTTTCATCAATGGTGTTCGGTATACGATCTGTATAGCTCCACATTGTCTTCATGTTGGATCCTGAGTCAAACCAATTTACATACAGTGACGTTTTGAACCGAATTCAACTAAAAAAGACGAAGGTTTGTTTCTTGAATCGAGCTAATGGTTAAAGTGCAGATTGCGGATCGGGTTTTTATGTATTCGTACAATTTTATGGCTGATGTAGATGAGCGGCGATGATAAACGTCGTCATGGAGCGGTCGTTCACCGTCGAGAATATTCGGAAGCTGAAAACGAACGTCGCACTCAAATTCTTTTTGAATGCGGAGGAATTTATGACGATCAGCTTGATGATGATGAGAACGTGCATGAGTTTAAGCGCCAACGATTAGGAGACGTGCTTGCGTCGCCTAATGCTGATGGGGACACAAAGACTAGCATACCTTCCTCAGACATTCTCAACGTGGGTACTACCATACCTGTAAAGAAAGATAGCAGCAATAGTCCCGTTCCACACAACGACGGCAGTGCTAGCCCAGTAATCAGCGACAGTGACAGTGAATAGTTTACATTTAGAGCAAGTTTGACATCGTGTTCACGACTGAAAAATATATTATTCATGTGTTTTGAGTTGTTTTCTGCATGCGTGCACTGCAACCGCACCGATAATACCGGAGTCATATCCTGCACTTGCTTTCTCTATGCGTACCTATATATGATAGAAAGAGCTGTCAAAACAGAGATATGAAAGAAAGTGCAATAAGGATAACGTACAGGGTTTGGAAGTCTTGTCCACGAATACTTGGCGTATGCAAGGCGTATTTTTTCGATATATGACTCGCCAGCTTCAGCTATTCCACCAGAAAGAACGATTATCTAAAAATCAAATACTGTCAACATGGTCACATTCATAACATGCGCAAAATTTATACAACCTCTGGATCCAGCATTCGACAGAAGGTCACGCACGCAAAACCCAGATAGTCAGCAGCCTGCAGACTCGAACATCAGAAACTTTCGACCAAAGGCAAAAGCAAAAGCTTGACCACATACGCTTTCGATGAGATGCTGGCACAATTCATCACCTTCAGAGGCGAGCTTGAAAACTAACTCAGCATCAATTTGAGTTTCAAGGTATTGAGATACACTTGAGACCTCGCCTGCAAGGCCAGGCGAAGATCGACAAATCATTCATTAAATACCGCTGCAACTGCATGAAGGAATTTTTTTTTTTCTCAGTCAACGAACCTGCGCGTAAATGCTCTTGAACTTGATGTATGAGCGCGCTTGCCGAGCTGTATGCCTCTAAGCATCCTCGTTGGGAGCACCCGCACAATCTTCCATTACGCTCGACAATCTATAATCAAGCGAGGGCAATCAGTACTGACCAAAACGAAAGCAATACTAAAATATCGTACAATGTGACCCCCTTCAACGGCATTGTTGCCACCCCGCACTAGCTCACCGTTCACAACAGCCCCAAAACCCACTCCAGTACCAAGAGCTTTACAACAAAACATTCATATTTTCAATATCGATTCAGGTATCTTGCCAGCAACAAAATTTATCAAGGATCGTACTGAGCATGATAAAGTCCTTGACACCGCTCCTGGCTGTACCAACCCACTGTTCCGCTAAAATGGCAGCATCGGCGTCATTGCAAACTGTAATCTTGTGTCACACGTCAGGCAGCGCATGAGTACGCTCTCACGTCAGCATTTAGCAGTTAACTAACTGGTTTGTCAAGAATACCGGAAAATAATTGCTGAAGTGGCACGTCTTTCCAGGTCGGAAAGTTGGCAGCAGCGTGAACAACTCCACCAACCTCAAGGACACCGGGGCACCCCACACCAACGGCTCTGATATCTTCTAGCTCTAATTTTGTCTATCAAGAATGCTCACAAATCGTGAGTGCGGAAGATCTCGGCATTAGAGCTACACAACGCACTTTTTTTAGTACTTTGTGCAGCAAGAAGATCGACAGATCTATCACATCTTGTGGCTTGTGCTTATTTGGGCGAAAATTCGCCTGTTCACGCGCCACCACAACGCCCTCTGACGTTACAACGCCCACTTTAATACCCGTAGCACCAATATCTACACCGGCGAACATTAGCGACTTCTGTCATTGTCACATCGTCGTTTTCCTTTCCTAGAGCCTTGATTGGGCGCTTCCTTCAACTGTCGTTTTTGAATTTTATATTAATTAAAATCAAAGTATCTAATATTCGGCTTACAGCATGTTGTCTACATTGATGTGGCTTACGCTGGCCCTCGTGATCCTCGCAACGCAAGGGTACACTATCATGGCGCGCTTTCTTCGGCTTTTACTACACACGTATTTTCGTAAGATTGAAGTGTACGGACTCAACAACTTTCCGCGCGAAGGGCCTGTCATCCTGTGTCCAAACCACCCCAACATGCTTGTGGATGCCATCCTAGTCATGACTGAAGCCATAATTCAAGGTCGCAATCCTTATGTATGGGCAAAAGGCTCACTCTTTAGTAACCCTGTCGCTTCTTTTTTCCTCAAAAAAGCTGGTGCCGTGCCTGTTTATCGTCCGCGTCGCAAAGAGACCAGTCTTGCTGACGTGGACTCGGACAAGACCCCCGAAGAGCTCGAGGCGGCTAATCGCGCTATGTTTGAGCACACGTGGGGTGTGCTTGCTGATAATAATGTCATGGTGTTATTTCCTGAAGGAACATCGTATACAGCACCAAAGATGCTGTCGTTACGCACAGGTGTTGTGCGTGTCGCGACAGGTTTTGCAAAACATTTTGACCGGCCCATTCCTATCATTCCATTAGGTCTCAACTATTTTAGTAAAGATCATTTTCGAAGCCAGATGACACTGGAGTTTGGCCCACCTATGGTGATAACGCCTGAACTGGTGCACAGTGACGTTTTTCAACAGGACGAACACAGGGAAGTGAAGCGTCTTACTCATGACTTGGAGGAACGAATGCATGATTTGACTTTAAACGCATCTGATTTTACCATAATTCACGCGGCGCGAATGATGCGTCGCCTTTATCTTAGCACCCCTGGAACCATTGATGCTCTAAAAGAGGTTCGCTTGACCCAGTTCATTATCAGAATGCTGGAAGCGAAGCCTGAAAATGAGGAGCAAAAGGATCGAATCAAAAGAACATGTGAAAAAGTACTTCAATACAAAGAGCAACTAGAAAAGCTAAGGCTGAAAGATCAAGAGGTGAATCAATCGATGCCAAATGAGCAGTCGCTTATAAAATTGTTCTTCGAGCGAATTTTGTACTTGTTGGTATTGCTGCCCCTAGCAACACCCGGGCTTTTGCTTAACTTTCCGTACTATTTTATTGGTACGCCTGAGGTAGCCATGGTTGTTTGACAGAGCTAACGTTGCGTGTTGTATTGATCGACAGGAAAGAAGCTGAATAGGCTGGCAGGTTTTGTGGAATCCAAGTCCATGTTCAAGATTTTTGCGGCCGGGTATGTTTATACTTTTGATCCGTAATATATAGAAGTGTGACCGTCTATGTATTGTAGTGTGTTGGTGCCAGTTCATTGGCTTGTACTAATTCTAGCAACTTGGTTCTTCTTTGGATCCTCTTACGCGTACGTCTTGGCGGTTGGCTTGCCTCTTTTACTTTACTCGCACATACGCGTACTGGAAGAAAGCCGTTCCATAGCCGAGAATGTGTATTTTCTCTTTAATATCGCAACTCATGCAGAGCAGGTTTCGGCGCTGCGAAAGGAGCGTGAGCTTCTAGCGCGAGATGTCCACACTCTTGTGGAATCATTCGTAGATGCCAATTTCCTATCTGCTTTGCACAAGTCAATCGCAATCTCACCCGTGAATCGACGATTTTACCATCGCACTTCTTCCATAAGTGACTCACTTCTAGCAAGGTGATACAATAGCTGTTGCGTCTTTGGATTGAATACACTATAAGTGTTTGTTCGGTATACAGACAATTCTTTGGCCAGAAACTTTATTTTAAAGCTTTCTGTGTTCTGTGATGTCATGACAAAGCAGCACTAAATCTGTGTCGCACCGAGAGACACGCAATGCAGCGATTGGAGCCAAGCTATTGCGCGATATCACGAAGCTCAAGACCGATGCCGTACCGATTTTCTTCTAACTCCTTCAACATGGCTACATCACATCGTTATTAATTACTTTGACGCACACAGGAATCACTGGCAGCTTACAGCTCTTCGCCTTCGCAATTACATCATGTTTCTCAAGGAAAAAGGCATTAGCTTTCTTAGTGTAGGTGGTCTGATCACAGGATCAAATGACATGAGAATCAGAACAATACCGAGCTCTATCAACCGCATGTTTTAAAGCTACCGACTGAGCACCTTCATCGGCTTCAATGTGTTGAGCTCACTCAACGCAACCTTGAGCTGCTGAATCTACACTATGGTTGAGAAGACCACGCAACGATTTCATTTAGACTTTTATGGCACTCACTTCGCCGTCAAGCTTCTGAATAGATAATTGCTTCTTCCAGCCCTCATCGCTGACAGCTCCACTTCCGACCATTTTCTAAAAAAATTAATTGAAATACCATGTTACGGTCATTTGGTATTATAAATTCTCAGGTATTGTATTTCGAGATATTAGCTACGACATAACCGTTTCTGGGACAGTTTCCGTACCCCCTCAGCACACTACGTTTTTTTTTCGGCTGCGGCTCACCTAATTATCACACACCGGGCAGACAAACTTTTCAGGGCTGATTGCTTAGTAAATTATTTTTCCTTCCTGGTTCCAGGTAGCGACTAAGCGACTAACCACTTAAGCTCGGGGTCGGTTGGTTGATGTATTAGAGAGTACAAACTAACAAGCCATCACTTATAGCCGTGTATTCACCACCGCTGCAGTCCCCATATCTTCACTTGACTTAATGATTCCATCAAAAGCCATTGCGCTAAACGCACTACCATAAACGTCATGTTTTGGCACGTGTCATCATCATGGTCACCTAAAGTGCCAGCACCGCCATTTGACTTGGCAATCACATTTTGTAGTATACCTTGCCATGCTTGTTAGACCTAAATAGCAACCCTCTGCGCGGAAGGTACGTGCAAATTGCCGGCACGCGTCGTAGCGCCATGCACCTTGCACGGATAAAGCTTTGACTCTTTAATACTGATTAAGTAAGAGGGATATACAACTATGCAAGATATAAACTTCATGTGAATCACAAACCGAACCATGTGGTCCACACCATATACAAAGTGAGTTGCACCTCTAGACATTATTAAAACACGATTTTCTTCTGTGGATCTAACGTGCTTGATGTCCTGACGGGGTAGGGCATAACAAAACCTCTTTTTATCGAAATTAGCAAGGCAGGGAAGATGGTTAATGAGAAGAAGGCACGGTACTAGTGTCATTGTTTCTTACCTGGGTACTTCTTACGAAGTGTAATCAGGATTTTGATGCACTGCATACGGTTAGCAAAACGATTATAATTCTAGGATTGGCGCATTACGTAACAAATAAGGGACTTCGGATACGGTAGGCAAATTTACCGGTGTAAGTGCCATGTGAGCGAGGATTATGATTCTATACGTTGCTGATAAGGAAAGAATTATCGAAAAAATAGATACGCTCGAAGCATGAGTTTTGCTTATGGTTAACCAATCAGTTTTAGCGATGCTGCAAAAAAATATGGGGGTATGTATATCCATAAGAGGAGTCCCACGACGACGAAACTCAAGATGATTATGAGCAAGGCCTGGGCTCTGAGCAATTTTTATTCTGACTGAATAAGATCATGTCGCTTGGTGAGTGAGATAATGCCACATTTAATATAAAGGATGAATTGTCATAGAACATGTATTAAAATTTGTTGAGATTACACCGCCGAATGCATGTTGAACAGGCAGATGACGTCACCGTATTTACGAGCACGTCACAGTAAGTAATTACATAATGGTTGGAGCTCATTGGTCTAGATAAATCAGGATGCTAATAGCAGCTTCTAGAAGGATCTAGAAAGACAGGCTTAGAGGTAGCACAGAGTAGCGAACTAAGGACCTAAATGTATTCAGTTCGGTTTTTACCTTCTACTCAGCAAAATTTGATGAAACAATATTGCCAAGAATATCGAAACACCTTACGACAAACAGCAAATTTTGCGGTTTGTAATTACTTGCATATCTTCTTGAGGGGTTAAGACTTTTAAACGACACTGTAGGACAGGGGAGCACGGTAAGGATTTGGCGGAAGGAAAGAAATGGAGGCAAGTCGTAGAAGTTGCGATGGAGTCGAGAAATATAATATACTGTACACAAGGCAAGACCCCTCAAACACGTACTTTAAAATAATTAACAAGACGAGCTCGATACCAAGATCCATCGAATACTGACCAGGCAGCGCGTTGCTCGCAGAAGAAAAGTGAACCGATATAGTGTCAAAAGTGTTGCAAGCATTAACAGAATCCGGTTAAGGAATTGCCTTATTACCAAGAATTCAAATCTTTTGTATATCAAACGCGTTAGCTTTATGCAGCGGGGCTGCCGTAGTTCTTTCGCTTAGAGGAAGCTTGGTTAAGGTCGTTGACCTTCGATCTATACTTAGAACCATTACGAGTTTATCAGATCGCAATCCACTTACTTTAAGAGTAACTTCAACTTAACCCAAGACTAATACCTCTTCCGTTTGAAACGTAAACCGTTTTTCTCGGTTTTATGCGGCAAAATCGCCTATATCCAAATCTATAGGTTTTTTTTATCTACATAGTAAAACCTAATTAAGTGTGAAACTGCTGGCAGTCTAGCCACGTTCTGACTTCTTGTTAATGCGTAGCAACAGCCATTGTGTGGTCACACTATCTTGTGTAACCTTCACCCTTCATACCAGGGCAGGTTAAACCTCGTTACACTTCCCCCTAACAGAACTGAGAACACCCACAATTCGCATTCAACTGTCGCCTCGAAGGAGGCTCGCGTGTTTAAGACACCACACGATCACCAGGACCTTCTTCACAAACTCTCTGCTTAATCAACCCTGTGTCGAGGACATGGAAGATACCCAGTCTCGATGGTTCCTACAGCGGGGATTTCGTAGCTCTCTGCTTAGAAGTAGCTAAGTTAAGATCACCGACCTTACGTTCTTACCAAGAACCAGTACTAATATAGCGGATTGCAATCCACTACTTCTAAGTACTAAAGCCTTAGCAAGGCAAACGAAAACTTCTGTTTTCTAAAACGAAACTGTATTTTATTGCTTTAGTTGCGGAAGAGCCGCCAATATCTAAAACCCTAGGCCTTCCTTATTAATATAGTAATATCTAATTAGTATAGCAAACCTAATTGATATAGTAGTATGCATTACTACTGGCAATCCTGCCACGTGTTGGCTTCTTATCGCGGTGTAGCCACAACACTGTCCTATTACACTAACTGTGTATTACGCACCTATGTCCGGTCGCAAAATCTTGTGCGACCCGCCCTTCTTCAAAGGGCACGTGTAACCCCGTTTCAATCTGTTGTGGGGCTGCAGTAGTTAAGCGCTTGAGGAAGCGTCTTTAGGTCACCAACCTTTCGTTCTTTGAAAGAACCAAGTACTAGTGCAGCGGATCGCATCCCGCTGCCTCTAAAAGAGCTTAAAAGCCCTAACCAAGGCAAACGAACACTTCAATTCAAAATCGTAACTGATTTTCATTTGTCAATTTATCCTAATTTTGAAAGTTTAGATTTTCCTAAAATACTAAATATATATAAAAAAATCTAAATACGCATAAGTACTGGCTACCTAGCCACATACCGTATTCTTGTTTGGGTGTAGTTACACCATGCACATCTCGTGTGACACGTACCCTGTTACCAGGGTACGTGTAATCCCGTTACATTCAGCTTTGGGTTGTAATTTCTCTTGGAGTAAGTGGATTGCGTTCCGCTACACTCGAACTGGTTCTAAGTATTGAACAAAGATCACCGACCTTAACTAAGCTTCCTCTAAGCGAAAGAGACGGCAGCCCCGCTGCACTTGGTAGCACTTATAGTCAATCTACACCTGAGTCTTTACGACTGACCCTCTGTGGGGATGGAGCAGGTCTCTTATTTGCCCCGGGGCATGCAGGACGGCCTTAAGAAGCTGATGTCTCTGCTAGACCTGGGGTCGTGCAACACCTTACTTAGCAAAGCCTGAAACGATCAGTGCGCGCCTAAAGGCGTCTACAAGATATAAAAAACTTTGCTAAAATACCTACAGCAGAAGATGTCGGCGTCGACTGCGTCCATGACGCCACTGTCAGCGACGGATGACTCCCCTTGACCCAAGCCGCTCATGGTGAGTGTTAAGACCTCTAAGGGCAAGGATGGGGAGAATCGCCTGCTCTGGGTGAGAGAGGTTGATATTGCAAAGGCATCCGCCATGCTCCAGACCGAGCAACAGCTCGTGGCACTAGCTATCTCGAACCTCGGAGGCCAAGCGCGAGAATGGGCGCTAACGCGCAGTGCTTCGGTTGAAGCGACATACCCCTCCTGGAAGGGGCTAGGGCGTCAGCTTTTGCAAGTGTTCTCGCCGCCTAACCAAGCAGATAGCGTGCGATCGCATATTCTTGCCGCCCGACAGGATAAAAAGTAATTGGTTGACTCTGTCCAAGCGGTGCGCATATGTCAGACGATTCTCTTCCCGAGGTGGCCACACTGACCGTCTTTATGGAGGGCCTCCGCGCTGGCATGACCAGAGTGGAAACCATCCGTGTGCATCCATCTTCATTTGAAGCAGCTGTAAATGTGGCATTGAATGCCGAAATCAACTTTAATTTGGCACGACTTGGTTGGAATGCACACTCTAGTAGCTCGTCGAGCGGGCCTGAGCCAATGGATCTCTGCTATGCTGTGAAAGAGGAGGGAGAGTTCCGGACTGCCGAGCTGCCGAGCAGCGCTTGAACACCAGACGGTGTTTTGTCTATGAAGACATCGGATTGGTTGTTCCCTGCGCAAGGCACGTCAAGGCTTATCGAACCGATGTCCCGCTTCTTATCAGTTTTCTGGTTTGTCGCTGGGAAGAAGAACATACATTAGGCGCGGGGCGGCCTCCTGAGGAAGAACTGAGTTCTGCTGAGCCTCAAAGAGGTAGAGGACAGCAGGACCAGCCCCGACGATCTGTGTGCTCTTGAACAGGAAACGTGTATGCAAGCCGGGCTTGCTGGTCGTAAAAGCGACCGTGAAGGACGTTGATAAGTTATGGAGAATCCGTATCGATTCTGGTGCATCGAAAAATTATGCTCGACGCTCCACGTTAAAGGAAGTCAGCTTGGACTGAGGCGGTGGAAGCGAGTCTGAGTGACACCGTCACCTCGGTGTCAAGTTCCTTTACTTTGATTGCGTGGAACGCTGCTTAGACTTGGACTTGGATTCTAGGAAGCAATGAAAAGATGGTTAATTCTATTCATCCGTGCGACATCGTCAACCTACCATGGGAGAAGGATAGAATCACCGCAAAAAATGTTTGCTATCTTCGGGATGATCTTTCCGACCTAATACGATAAGCGGGCATCAGCGACAATACAATACATGCTCGATTTCGTCAAGATTGCACTTATTGAGAGAGTCGATCGAATCTACACTTATATGATCGGAGCGCGTAGCGATAATTCGTTACCGATTGCAAACTGTTGACTTCGTCCTCACATTAAGCATAGATGTGGTTCTCAAGGACGTCTTACATGGCATATATGCAAATGTAGTACCATGCAGTACTACATTTGCACATTTTGCGTGGATGCCCTTAGAGACCACGATAACGCCTTTGGAGCCACATGAATATGTATGTATAACATGATACCACATGGTACTATGTTGCTTGTACACATAAATGGCGTCTAGGGGTACTCTAAATGCCACAGACTAAGCAGACAATATAACATAATCAATGCAGTTCGTTCACTAGCGTACGCCCACAGATAGATCGCGGACCGATCTTGTGGTGCAGTGGAATGCTGTTCACCGGGAGGACCAGGGTTTAATCCCCGGGCCGGGTAGAGCGGGGTTAGAGTGTAATGAATAAAACCCTACAGTATGTGCTTGATATGGCTTACACGACTCCTAAAAGGGTGACGTTCTAAAATTACACAGATAGATCGCGGAATGTTACTTAATCCTGAAGTGAATTCTCTTGCATTACCAGAATTGCCACTTTAACACATGCGTCACCAAAGCAGGTGTAATTATCAATATCCAGTAGTTCTGTGAGTTACGAATCATAAACCGCATCCCATACATTGTATGATCAAGTTACAGGGTCACAGAGTGACTATAAATGATATAAATCAAGTAGTGCGTAAAATTCCCAAACATGATTTGCATGTCACCCAACCAATGTAACAACATCATGGTAGGGTTTTTACGCCATGCAGAACCGAGATTTACAAAAAAACACGGTCTTGTCTCTCTATATCTTCTTTCTCTCGTATACCCAAATCCCTACCTGTAAACGTTTGATGAATATATAAAAGTGTAGGAACTCAGAACCCGAGCACGAACAGAAGATGTCAATGTAACCGCAGCCCTTCATATTATCAAAATTTGGTTCCGAAAATGTAAGAGCCAGTAGGAACAGTAACTTTTTCGGTAAGCATCATCATCAAAGCAGCCGCATAAAGCCGTCAATTCATCCCAATTTGGATGAAATGGCTGTTGCTATTGTACTGCACTTGACCCCTGTAAGATGAAGTGACAGAAGTCGATCTATTGCGCAGAGAAATGCTTTCTAGCATTTTTCCCCCACCCTTGCCTCGGATCTTCACGAAATTTACCATCTTCAATAAACCCTAAATTGGTCCCGCAGGCAAGCATGTCAGTTGACTTGGCGTAAGTTGGTCTGACTCGATGCGCTTGTACATGTTGGCGAATAAAGATGAACCGCAAGTTAACGTGCTTATTATTAACTTACCATACTTTATTCTGACTCAACTTAATTAATTGCCACATGATAATTTATTTACATAATTGTCGACTCCTTGACTTTTACGTTAATCTCACCGGAAGACTCCTTCTAGGTTTAGCGACACATTTCCGATTGAGATTCTGCATTGAACTTCCACCCATATTGTGACTATCATCACACCTATCTGCTTCATATTATTATCAAGATGCCGCCGTCATATCTATGGTGATAACGTACTCTGTTCCGAAATCAGGTCGGCTTTGTCACAACGAAATTGGCAGCGCTCTTGCTTTCAGGCTGTATGCTTCCTTGTGATTTACTTTTTTCTTTGAACGAGCATTCTATCCTTTGTAAGTGGTCATAAATGTACTACGATTCTCGCGTATATTGAAGTGCTAAAACATTTGTAATATAGCGACAGAGTCGTATGTCATGTGGGAACAAGGCGAGACCCTGGGTGCTTAAATATCTACCATCGACTAATTTGCGAATATTGGATATGATACCCCCAGCAGTACACCTCGCCCTATCCGTGTGCTACTGCGCCTACTTTGTTGAATCACTCTACCTAATCATTACCATTTATGCTTAGTCTTTCATCAGTCTTGGCCTGTTTTTCTTTCCTGATCGATTGTGTACTGCAACGAACTTATGCAGTTAAATGAATCGAGAAATCCCAAAAAGGTATCAAACCAAGTGACGGGAAAGATTTATTAATAAATAGCCGAAATAGGCAATAGCATTTCATCCAGATTGTTAAATATGCATCCATCGCCTGTAAGGCATCGTATTCAATTAAACGACCACAATTCGTGCACTTCGAGGAGTGGATCGATTGCGATTTTTTCTCAGTGCGTCGTTCATTATTATATTGAATTATATAGAAATCCTAGGATTTTCTCGAAAACTCCGAAATCCTTGATATCCAGTCTTTCATGCTTATAAATCTGTTAACGGCATCCACGGTCGACAAAGGTACTGGTAGACCGTCGACGTTGCACCTCGTCATTATCAGTGACTTGTGGTGCAGACACATATCGGTAGTGCGTCGCTCAAGCCCACGTTATTTATTTTTGCATGCATCAGCTAACTCGATATTTTTACGTCTTGCTTTAGACCGGAGCGTGAATTCATCAATGACAAAGATAAAGTGCGCGTACTTATAACCATCGTCGACTTTTTATCTTTTTGGGATTTCATGAAAATATCACATTTTGTCTCAGTGTCAGCCTTAACATACGCATTCGGAACATCGTTGCGCATAGACAGCAAGTTCAACATCTAAGCGAGGTTCGGGCAACAGTAGTCCCAATTCCCTTTCTGCTGCAAATATTTGCGTATAGTTATCACCAAAAAGTAGGTCATTTGATCGCTCAATTTTCTATTTACGTCAAGTGTAACGGTGTTTCACGTGTCCTGGTATGAAGGGTGTGGATCACACACGTGAGTGTGACCACAATGGTGTGGCTACACTTAAACAAGAAGTCATGGACAGCCAGTAGTATAACATTTATTTAGGTTTTACTATACAGATGAAAATCTATAGATTTAGATATAGGCGGCATTGCCACAAATAAAACCAAAAAATACGGTTTACGTTTTAAACGGAAGATTTAATTAGTGCAGCAGGGCTGCCGCAGCTTTGCGCTTGAGGAAGCGTCTTTAGGTCACCGACCTTTCGTTCTTTACAAGATTCAAGTACTAGTGCAGAGGATCGCAATCCGCTGCCTCTGAAAGTACTTAAAAGTCTCAACCAAGGCCAACGAACACTTTAGTTCAAAATCGAAAATGATTTCTATTTATTTTTTTATCCTTATTTTAAAGTTTAGATTTTCCTAAATATACTTAATATACATAATAAAAGCTAAATATGCATAACTACTGGCTACCTAGCCGCATACTGTATTCTTGTTTGGGTGCAATCACACCATGCACATTTCGTGTGACACACACCCCTGTTATCAGGGTTCGTGTAACTCCGTTACACCCTCCCCTATTAAGATTGAAATCACATTACAGTTCCAATCGTTTATTACCTCAACGAGGCTCGCGTGTTCGCTAGACACTGCAACTTATCGAAACGACTTCCGTGCTCAATGAGCCCTGCGTCAATGACACCAAAATCTCCAAGTCCTGCTGGTTCTGTCGGCGAGCACAGGCAGAGCCCAACTTCGTCTCCCGCACTCGGTACAGCGTCGGACAGTGCGTCCGCAGCACCGAGGGGGTATATCCTAGGCTGAATGAGCACAGCGTCGCGCTCCGTGCACGCTATCAGTGACGAACGACCTTGTTGAGGATGTGGGGCTGGTCGACTACGAGTCTGACACCCCTCTTCCCGCATGGGATGACGAGGAAGGCGAGCTGCATCAGCAGCGTGATACGACCCTGCTCGCGCCTTGCGGACACCATGTCCCTTCCCTGACTTCTCGTCAACTGAGGAAAGTGGTGTAATCACCAATGACCTCGACGGGGAACAGAGGTGGCAGCTTGAAGCTGCCCATAAGGCGGCTCTAAAGCGCGCTTATCCACGGTCGGTCATTGACCCTCGTGTGGAATATGGTTTCCGCCCAGCGGACCCAGCTGTGGAAGCGAAGGGCGCGGTATTTCTATCGTTACGCGTCCACATCATCGGGCCCCCGGCCAGAACGGATGATGAACTTGCTACACGGAAAGCTCTTCGAGCTCGTTTCTTGGTCCCACCAGAAATTCCGTTAGACGTATATCGCACTCGTCTTAGTGCTCAACGAGGTGGCTCTTGTGTACCCGCAATGCGGACAATACCTGTAATGCTCGCCCCTGGCTAAAGCACTGCAGATGACGAAGCGCTCTTTGAGCGATGGGTTCAACAGCACGAAAACTTTCCTCACTGCATAACCTGCATTTGAGCCACAAGGAAGCGGACGTGCGTGTGGAGCGACAATTCCGCTTTGAGTTTGCCAAACCCAAGGCACGTCGTCGACTTCCTGCCGGAGTGGCGCCTCAAACTCCCACGAGTTTTCTGAGTCGGGATATTCCCGCCATTTCACCTGATATTGGGTTTGACCCTGGTGACGACATCGTCCAACAAGTCGTTCCACGTGATAGTGGACGTCACCTTTCTCATCGAGATGAGTCGGTGGCAGGCGGTGACGACCGGGTCCACCGCCGTCCGGTGACTCGTGATGCTCTTCGAGCCCGTGAGGACAAGGTCCTTCGTAATCGGAGCTCCGCTGAGCGTCATGGTGAAGTAGCATATCGCTTTTCGGACGCTCTTGACGATTTAAAGAACGTCATGCGCCGGCTGCCTCGCTTTGAGGACTACCGCTCTCTGTCGGAGCAACTCCTAGCCGTGGAGCAGGCGAATGAATCGCTTCAGGCAATGGTGGAGTGCTTGGCTCCATTGGAAACGAAGGTTGTTGCACTCCGTGCTCAGAACCAGTTGCTGGTTCAACTTCTGGGTATCCGTGGGCCTGTGGGATCCGCTCCGGATCCCGGTACGGCTTGAGCAAGCGTAAGTAAAACATCGGGTGGGTGCGCATCCGTTTGGGAAGGTTTAGCGTATACGCTAGGCCCAGCTTGGCCACAACCTTAAACGGTCCAATAAACCATGGACGAAGCTTCGTCCGGAAGATAGCAGAGGCTGCATGTGTAGGAAGGTTTTTAGAATTTGATAAAACCAGGTCCTCGACCTTAAATACCACTTTGCCTCTTCATTTTTCATTTGCATATTCTTTTTGTAGGT